GCATTCGTTTATAATTTTATAATAACCATATCTTACTAGTTACTCTTATTATAATCATAATGTGAGTTCTTACAGACATTTCTGAAAAGAAACCAATAATAATTCATTATTCTAATCATTTGACACCATGTTACAGTTACTTGTTTCACCTGTAAGTACTTCCACAAGTGTAAGAGTAAGTGTAAATATTCTTATAATCAAACCAACATCAACCACTGGTTAAACCAATATTCATTATTGGTTTTATCATAAGTTATCATTATTAATTTAAGTATTTTACTCTGGGTTTTATCCAATTACTCAAAATGTTTAGATTTTATTCTTTAAACCTCTAATGCTCTGAATGAGCAGTCTGAACTATTTTTATTCACTGCAGGCTGGAAACTTCCTCTTTTTTTCAGGAAACCTGCTCTTCCTGTTCCATGACTCTCTTTCTGTCTGATTATGATTTTTTATGATTAAATAGAAAAAAGTAGAATTAAAGCAAGATACAATAACAACACACACAACCAGATTAATTTTATTACCGTCTGGCTCTACTGTTGGGTCTTGATATCACCTGTGTAATCAGTTTTAAAGATAACTTTATTTATTGTTATTAAACTAAAATCTCCAGCATGGGGAAGTGGGATGAGCTCGACTTTTCTCGACAGTAGTGAACATGCATACAATGATCCGTATAAATATGACACAAATAAAATGTAACATAAGATTATGTAACATTAACATTATTAGTCTAACCTAAAGATTGATCATCTAAAGATTGTTTGGACTGCCACAGCAGTTGAGGAGGAGAACCTTATTATGTCAAGTGTTTTCTGCTGACTTTAATTTTGAATAGAGCATCAGGTCTGATACAGATCTGATGGTTTCAGTGGCAAATGTGCCAAGACGTGGAGTTCTTTCTGAAAGATCTTCCACATCCTCACTCAGGCATAGTCCTCATGGTATAATCTCATTGGTTTCATAAGTTATCATTATTTAACTCCTTTTTTAAGCTAGTTTGGGTTGATTAGTTGGTTGACTTGCTACCATCTTGCCAGGTCAACAATATTCAATATCAGCCAGAAAACAACAAAAAATCAGTTGTCTTTATTATCAGTGTGAAATCTTGTTTTCCCATTGATTGTTTATAAATCCTTTTATGTATGTTTACTGCACCCTCCTGTTCTTTGTTCAGTTAAGACCAAAATTAGAATTAAGTTTAAAGTAATCTTTTAATCATAGCCACGTTTCTCTAGAGTAATGTCAACGTTTTGGAGAGACCCAGCCAGAGTTCGGACTGATTTGTTCAGGGAACTAAACGTTATGGTGATAATAAGGAGGCCATGCAGTGTCAAAGACATAGAGCTCATCATATATTATCAAAGTACCAGAGAATGTGCAAAAAGCTGCTGAGCGATTTTAAGGGTTTGATTGCTGTAATGCCAATAAAACGCTGTTTGTTCTCATATCATTTGTGTTCACCTTTCAGAATCCAATCACAGTTTAAAGGTTCTGACGTTTGAGGATATAAAATTGTGTGACTGTCTGCCTGACATCCTGAAACTGCTGAGGGGCTGCATGTTGGAAGGTAAGCCAAGGAGAAAACAGATGTAACGGCTTCCATCATTCAGTGTCTGCTGAGGAGTTTCTGGCTGTCTCTTGCTTGACATGCAGCATAAACTAAGAGCAATCAATCAGATCTGAATCCCATCCCAGAGAAACCCTACTGCTGCTTGTTCACTCAGAGCTAAGCTTCAACGACTGTCGTCTTCTGGAGAAGTGCATCAACCCAGAAAAAAGTCTTGTAGAGCTGGTGGCTGCGCTGAAGATGCCTTCACTTCACTCTCTGAGTCTAGCACAGAATCGGCTCGGTAAGCAATCTTCATGATTTTTTCATAAGTAGGATGTAGTTCAGGCTTGTACTTATGACATTTTCAGAAATTATTTTCACTACTGCCAATATGTTCTTATCTAAAAGTTAAAGAATGATTTTGAAAATATTGACATGAAATAGTAGCAGCATTTATTAATTCAGCTAATTGTTGCTATTGAACTTGCGACTGAACGATCCATTTTTCCTTTTTGTGCCAACAGCTAAGAATGTGTGTGTGCTGGCAGAACTGTTCTCAGGTCAGTCACAGAGCTCACTGAAGCAACTAGACATCAGGTGAGAACCTCAAATGGTTTATTTTATTCTTTTAAAGTCGGTGGATTTTACTCTCTTTTTGTCACCTCTATCTTAAACGTTTTACAACATTCTGTTTCACTGATTTGTTGGTAGTATGTTTTAGCATAATGAGAAGAAGAGAGTTCTGCTGTTCCTGTGGCAGGAAGTCAGTAACATTTGATAAGCGATTGAAAGCTGTCATTAAAAACTATCATAAAGGAGACTTTGTTCAGGTCTAAATGACCTATAAATGACCATACAGAGCAGAGAACGTCTACTACAGACATATTTAACTGAAGCAACATTACTCAACTTATTTTTCAAAATTCATGTACATTTTAAATTTAAATCACTTCAACTTTGAAAAGATTTCTGAAATATTGAATTAAACTATCTAAAACCCAAACCAAGGTGCATTCATGGTTCCATGTTCCCTTAAGTCTCGATACACCCACTGACATGCTCTAAAAAGTGTTGTTCATGAATATTATATTTAATATTTAAAATGTTATAGTCAATAAATTCTACATTTATTTTGAGGATTTTTTTTTCCTCAAAAGCCACCAGACATTGTCTGGTCCAATGACTGGATACATTGAACCAGACGTTGATTAACCTTCGACTGGTTCTGTATTTCTGCCTTTTAACTGAATGGTGTCTCTTTTTCTTAAACAGGTCCAATTTCATTCAGCCTGCTGATCTGCTGGAGTTTGCTAAGAGACTGATGATTCATCCCCCTCCACACAGACTGACCCTTGACCTGAGGAAGAACCCAGGAGACAGAGACCCTGAGACATGGAACACAGCACTGAAGAGGCTTCAACCCTCCAGCTTTTTACTGGTTGAGGGATGGAAATCCACAGACACAATGGTGGACCACATCAGCAATATGTAAAAGAAAATCTGGAGGATGAAATGTTGACAACCAAGTTATTAATTATGTCTAGCATCAGTAGCGATGTAAAACTGATGCCAACCCATTTCCGTTATCTAAAGCTTTGGATGGCTCTGACCTGAAACTATACACACAAAATGGAAACACCTTCTGGAAATTCTTTGAAATTAGTTTGATTTGTCTTTGGCAGTGGGGAGACGAGTGTAACCTGTCCCTGGTTTACCAGCTCCCCTGTGAACCCAAAGTAGCCATAAACAGCAGATTATTTTCTATCATTTAATTTGTTTTCTTGCATCCAAATGCTGAAGGAGGAAAAAAGATGATTCCATGTCAGTTTGTCATTTGAATGTTTATTAAACATTACACCTCCAGAGATGTCTCTGATAAGGTGTGTGCTTGTGTGTGACAGTGGACATTAACGTACAACTGGGAGACTGACAATAAGGTGGTATGGCCATGTTAGACAATAAGCATTGACACAACTACCAATTCATCGTAAGTACAAACCAAGTAGGAAAAAAAGGATCCAAAACATAAATTAATAAGACTGCTGTATATTTTTTTTTAAGTTTGTTTAAAGCTAGTATTAAAGATCGCTTTAATTATGATTTTACCTTGTTTTCTTTGTCACACTGTAATAAATTTCAGCTTAGGACAAGGGTGACCCTATGAACATGCTAATCTGTTGTTTAGTCTACAACCAGACCATCTGTCGCATTAAAAAACACCAAACATTCACACGGCCACATCACAATAGCTCAGCCATCTCTGAAGCTCCCACAGGCAAAATGTCTTCATAGAACACAGGCTTACCAAACCAATAAAAATATTCCAGAATTGTTTAGCAATATAACAAATTACATTGGAGCCTGATGGGCCAAACATAAATCAAGCTGACTGACTTGTTTGAAGAAGTGAGACGGTGTTATACAGAAAACACTACAGTGTCACCTCTGGTCGTGTGGGTGTCAGACATTATGGAGAACATCTGAAATGTCCACAGCACAAACCCAAAGGAAGGTTTTATCCAAAACTCTGTTCAGTGTGGATATCTACATACTACTGGACCGCTGACCTGCTGACATAGCATGGATTTAGATTGGTTCTTCTAGTCCTCAATCAATGTGAGGAGCATTTACATTTAGCAGAGATAGTGCATCTGTGTCTACCCATTGTTACAGCCTACATACTATGGATTCACATATAAAGTGTGTATCTGAATGAGTAAGCTATGTGCAAAACACAAACCTAGCAACAGAAGTAATAATCTTAAGGGGTAAATATGGCTGCGCCCATCTGGCCTTTCATTTCAGGTAGCCGTTAAAATTCTCCCCTTCAATAAGAAAATGAGTGCAGTATTTTATGCAATGAGAATCCTTAAACGGCATGCAACCAGTTTTCAAATTTTTTACATCAAGTTTAGTGTTAACTTAATATAAGGAAGATTATATATAGCAAATTATAGACAACTGGATTTTTATAATTGAGAAACTACTTAGGCTAGTACAATGCACACTGTTTTCTGTCTTCAGGGACTCACTTTAAATAAAGGGATAAATATAACTGTTTCATCATATGCCTGATCATAAAGTCACCAGCTGTTCTGTTTGCTCACAGTCGGCCAACGATGTAATGTGTATGCACCCTGCATGTTGAGAACTACACAGTCCTACACACACACACAATACCCAACATACACACTTAAGTCTACAATACAGCATGTCAAAGGCATTAGAAAAATCTGAAATAAATATAAATAAATTAAATTATTTATAAAAGAATCGGTTAAAAACAAACTGTTAAATATAGAAAATATTTCAAACAAATACACCAATGTTTACGCAAAGACTGAATGGAAGTACTAGATGTCTTCTAAGCAAAGACAAATGAACACATGCACACACTGATTAATCACTACTGAGCTGAAAGGCCTGTCTGGGCTGAGTGGAAATGTTAGACGGATTTTCTTTGGGCTCTGGTGTCTCAGTTCCTGCTTCCAAAGTAGCCAATAGCATTCAAGGAGGGGTTTACTGGCAGTGATATCAATCCTCCATGGATCTGTAGTTCACGGCTTCTGGGGAGCTGATCGATGGTGAAAGTTCATTTTAGATGAGTCAATAGATGTGAAGATTTCATTCTGATAACCCCATTCTGTAGGACACAAGGCTCTGAGAGCAACTTGCATCCTACAACCATGTGTTATGGAGTCAAAGTGAAAGCCATTAGCACTTGATCAGCACCGCACAGATGAAGTGAAAGACTTCAGTGAGCAGTTTGGGGGAAAATCACAGACACAGTCCATTCAAACGTTGTCCGTCTATTATAAAATGTGCAGAAAAACCTAGGGCACCAACAATGCTGCTTTTGATCCAGCAGGTCTCACTGATGATGATGGCTCAGCAAAATTTGAGGGCATATTTACTGGTCTGCTTAGTAACAACAATGATTAACTGAATCAGAAGGACAAAACTAAAGCTGCTCAGCTATAGGCAGATCAGAGCTCTTTGCTTGGTCCTGCTGGTCAGGCCACATGGCCAATTAATCAGTCACAACCAGTAACTTGGTCTGGGGAGAGGAGCAATTCAAATATTATAAAAAAAACTCTTGAAATTAAACTGACGGCAAACCTGATACTTGTGCAAATGTTACAGAACAAAGACGTTATTATACACTCACCGGCCACTTTATTAATTACACCTTGCTAGTACCGGGTTGGACCCCTTTTCCCTTCAGAACTACCATAACACTTTTATGGCATAGATTCAACAAGGTACTGGAAACATTCCTCAGAGAGTCTGATCCATATTGACATGATGACATCATGCAGTTGTTCCAGATTTGGAGCAACTGCATGAGACAAGAGATTCACATCATGGATGTCCACCACATCCCAAAGATGCTCTATTGGATTGATATATGGTGACTATGGAGGCCATTTGAGTTCAGTGAATTCATTGTCATGTTCAAGAAACCAGTCTGAGACGATTCACGCTTTATGACATGGTGCGTTATCCTGCTGGAAGTATCCATCAGAAGGTGATACACTGTGGTCATAAAGGGATGGGCATGGTCAGCAGCAATCAGGTAGGCTGTGGCATTGACACACTGCTCAATTGGTACTAATGGACCCAAAGTGTGCCAGGAAAATATCCCCCACACCATTGCACCACCACCAGCAGCCTGAACCACTGATACAAGGCAGGATGGATCCATGCTTTCATATTGTTGACACCATTTTCCGGCCCTACAATCCGACTGTCGCAGCAGAAATCAAGACTCATCAGACCAGACAATGTTTTCTAATCTTCTATTGTCCAATTTTGGTGAGTCTGTTTGAATTGTAGCCTCAGTTTCCTGTTCTTAGCTGACAGGAGTGGCACCCGGTGTGGTCTTCTGCTGCTGTAGCCCATCCGCCTCAAGGTTTGGCATGTTGTGCGTTCTGAGATGCTCTTCTGCATACCTCAGTTGTAACAAGTGGTTATTTGAGTTACTGTTGCTGTTCTATCAGCTCACACCAGTCTGGCCATTCTCCTCTGACCTCTGGCATCAACAAGGCATTTGCGACCACAGAACTGCCGCTCACTGGATATTTTCTCTTTTTCAGCCCATTCTCTATAAACTCTATAAAGATGGTTGTGCATGAAAATCCCAATAGGTCAGCACTTAAATCACCTTTCTTCTCCATTATGATGCTGAGTTTGAACCGCAGCAGATTGTCTTGGCCATGTCTATATGCCTAAATGCATGGAGTTGCTGCCATGTGATTGGCTGATTCAACAAGTGCGTTAATGAGCAGTTGGACAGGTGTACCTAATAAAGTGGCCGGTGAGTGTGGAGCATCCATACCTGCTGGAATCAAGCTTTTGAATCACTTTGTGCCATTTAATGGAATTGAACTCAAGACTTTAAGCTACCCCTAAACAGCAAAACTGCAGAGTGAGGACAGCCTGTCTTCATAAACCTTGGATCATTATGAAAATTCTCCAAATCCAGAGTAGAGTAAACATCATCGCCCTGTAATCAAAACGGGGCTCCATCTTCTTCAGCATGATGTTCCTCTGTGTCTACAGGTATGAAACGATGGTTTTACCTGATTTTCTGTTCATCTTCAGGCAAGATCACAAATGAAGAAAAGTATTCCATTACAGAGTACGTTGCTCCTAATAAGTTTAGTGGGAGTTATAATGATGACAAAAAGATAGAGCCAAACCATGTTGATAAAGCTGTTTCTCCCATGAAGTGTGAGACATTAGTGGAATGTCTGATAAACATGCACTAGTTCTTTCATTTTACTGAAGAACACTCCTCTTAATCAAATGGCATTACTGCAGACTTGTAAGACTTGTATGGAAGTGTGCAATTGACAGTGAATGTCTATTTAAGCCAGGCAACAGAAAGTGAAAATAACTTCATACAAAACTTACAATTAACCAGAGGTCTGCAGATGTGAAAGAGAAGTTCATGTAATGATGAGATCCCTGCAGAAATCTTCAAGCTGAATGTGTATAGTGTAATAATGGATGTGAAGGCACACACAGTACTGTTATGTTCTGCAAACTCCAACCAAACATTGGTGGTTTATATGCAATATTACAGCTGGACCAAATTCACAGAAATAGAAACAGCTGATACAACTCAAAATGTAAAGCAGCCAAACTCAAATCCAGGCAGTTTTTGTCGTCAAAAGTAAACATGAACTTGCCAAGTATTCACCAGCAGCAACAATTTGAATGTATGGTGTCCCTGTGCTGTAGGAGTGTGCAGGGAGCAGGTTAAAGGGAGCACAGGAGAGGCTGTAGGTCACTGAACGGCTGTAGGGGGCGCTATAAGATCCCATCCATGAAGCTGGTGTCTAGTCGCTGGATGAGCACCCGAATGAAGGACATCTCCTTACGGGTGTTCTCAAAGATCACCCTGGGATCATCTGACTGGCAACGTAGACAGTTAGGAGCCATGACCATGGCCAAGTTGTTCACATCCATCTTGGTAATGGCTACATTGGGAGGTTGGGCAAAAACCTAAACAGAAAACACAATTTCATATCATTTGTGTTTTTTGACCAAAAGATACATTTTACAGCCAGGGTATTATAATTTCTTGCGTTTGTAGCTGATGGCCAATAGTTAATAGTGTATTTTATGATGCATTAGGGTCCACTTCAGTGGTCTGTGTGCATTTATAACATAAAAATCCACAAGAAACACAAGAAAATAACTTTTAGATAGCTGTCCACTGTAGTGACCTCTATGCATGAAAGAGTTAATTATAAGATTGTAAACAAGCATGAAAACCTAGCTGCTATAGCAAGCCAGTTAGCTCAGCACTTCTTTCATACCTGCTAAAGCCACAAAATGCTGCTGTCCCTTCCTACCTAATGTTCGTCATGAAGACTTGTTTAAAATTACCCAGGATTAGTTGAACACGTTGGCCAAAATATGTGTAATTTTCCTATAATAAATATAAGTGCCAAAAATTATGAAGCAAAATGGAAAAAATATAGAACAAAGAATGCACGGAAGAAAATTGAGGAGTATCATTGGAAATACTAAAACTATCAAGAATACACTTAAGCATCAATGTATTACTGTTGAGAAACAGTTACTTGTTTCTCAACGGTAATACATAACCTGAAAATGCAAATTAGAGAGTCTGATACAGTGGTCAGCTTATAATAAATATGTTATTCAAGACCCACAATTTAATCAATGGCTAGAAAAAGGTTTAACAGCATTATGTGTAGTCCTTAAAGATGATAATTTTACAGGCTTCCAGGAACTACAACCAGAGTTTGCCCTAAGAACTGAAGATCATTTTAGTTACCTACAATTAAGGGACTTTTATAGCAAAGAGATTAAACATAAAATAGACCTCAATGAAAATGTGATGGTCAAAATGCTGATTGAAACCTATAAGAGTAAAAAACACAGAACAGTATCCTTATTCTATAATATTCGTTATAAAATAGAGGCACTAACACAACTAACACAATGGATATTAAAACAAAATGGAAATGGGAATTGGGACTTATACTAACAGAAGACGATTGGCTGAATATCTGGAAGACCCAAATTACAACATCCTCTTCTAGAATTTAGAGAAAACATTGTTGGAAAAATATAATCAGATTTTTTGTTAAACCCAAAATTACCAGTAAATT